AGGTGGGGGGAGGAAGCACGACATAGACGACAAGAGCGGGGAGGACCGCCCACGAGAAGTCCCACGCCTGAACCCTTATCATCGAGCCTCGAAACCTGGATACCGCCGCCGATCGAGGAGGATCGCTCCTGCTCTCCCTCACTCCCCCCCTCATTCTCTCCCTCCCCCTTCTCGCTTCTCCCAAACATCTTCGTCCTCCTCTTCCTCGTCCTCCTCCTCTTCCTCTTCCTCCTCCGTCCTCCTCTTGGTCCTCCTCCTCCTCCGTCCTCCTCCTCCTCCTCTGCCTCCTCCTCGTCCTCCTCTTCCTCCGCCGCCGCCTCCTTCTCCTCACCACCCCCCACCCACCCACCCACCCACCCACCCACCCACCCACCCACCCCCCACCCTCTCCTCCCCTTCGCCTTCCCCTCATCTTCCTTCTCCTCCTCCTCCCTCTCCTTCTCCTCCTCCTCCTCCTCCTTCTCCTCCTCCTCCTCGTCCTCCTCTTCCCCCTCCTCCGCCCTCGTCGCCCTCATCGCCCTCATCGCCCTCGTCGCCCTTCCTCCCCCCCTCCGAGGAGAGAGAGAGAGAGAGAGAGAGAGAGAGAGAGAGAGAGAGAAGGGTGACCCGTCCCATCTCTCCCCTCCTCCCCGCCCTGCCCCTTCGCCTTCCATCCCCCCCCTCCCGCCGCCCCACCCCCCACCCCCAAGAGACCCCCCTCAGGGGCTGTAGAGGAACAGCCAGGAGGCTCGAGTCCGAAGGGCCTCGGGAGGCCCAGGAGGCCTCGGGAAGCCCCAGGAGGCATCGGGCGACCTCGGGAAGCTCAGACGAGGCCCCGAGGGGCCTCTCGGGCCCCCTCCGGCCGCACACGCCCCGCGCCCGAGCCCGCCGCCCAGTCAAGATATGCCCGCCGCCGCCGCGGCGAGGGCGGCGGCGCTGTGCTGTTTCGCGGGGCTCTGCCTGGCGAAGGCGGGCGCGGCTCGTCGCTCGTCGCCGCCGGCCCGCCCTCGCGCGCGCGAGCGCGAGGAGCGAGGAGCGAGGAGGAGCGAGGAGGAGCGAGGAGCGACGAGGAGGAGGAGCGAGGAGGAGGAGGAGGAGGAGGAGGAGAAGGAGGAGCGAGGAGCAGGATCGAGAAAGAGCGAGGAGGAGCGAGGAGGAGGGAGGAGTCAGGAGGGAGGAGGGCGGGAAGAGGGAGGAGCGAGGAGTGAGGAGGAGGAGGAGGAGGAGAAGGTGTAATACCGATCGGATCGTTCGAAGGCTTATCGACTTTAAAACAGCTCGGTGCTAGCCGGCGTGGACTCCACACAGTGCAATAGTTGTCATGTGGCGGTGACCGTGTAAGCTGTGTGGTGGATGCTAATTATGTAATGTGAGCTGTGGAGGTGAAGTCCCTGCGGTGTAAGCTACGTCGTGTGAGCTCTGCGGTGCGACCTGGAGGTGGAAGCTATATATAGAGTACAAGCTGTGGGGCGCAAGCTCTGCTGTGCAGGCTACGCAGTGTGTAGGCTGTGCGGGGCGCGCACGAGGCGCTCACGAGACGGCACAAGGCTGCAACGTGGCGCAAGCCCGGCATAACCCCCCAGCGCGGGGCGCCCACGAGGCGCCCACCAGGCGGCACAGGCTGCCACGTGGGGCGCAAGCCCGGCATACCCCCCCGAAGCGCGGGGCGCCCACGAGGTGGCACGGGCGGCAGCGCGAACCACACCCTCGGCAGACCCCCCCAAGCGCGGGGCGCCAATAGGAAGTGCCAACGAGGCGGCACGGGGGTCGCAACGTCGTGATCATCTGGAGCTTAGTGGGCCCTGGAAACGACAGGGCCGTTTTGTTACCGGTTCCGTTTTGCCGTTTTTGTTGCCGGTTCCGACGCCTTGTTTTACCGGTTCCGTCGCCGTTTTTTGACCGGTTCCGGCTCCAGTTCCGATCCTGGAGCCGTTTTTTTGTCCGTTTCCGGTCGCCGCTTTTTTACCGTAACCATTTTCAAGGGGCATTTTTTGGGGAAACGGTGAAAAAACGGCCCTGCCGTTTCCGGGGCCCACACAGATCTGGAGTGCCCACCCATTCATAAGTGGCCGAAGCGAACTAAGAAGCCTTCAGGGCAAGCACTGTTCAGGACAATTCGAAGAGGCGCAACAGCTGCACGGACGGACGGCAGCTCCTGTCGAACATGGGGACTCGGTCCTTCTCAAGACAGAGCCATCGTTGGCCGCCCCGTTGACATTCATGATCCCACATATGCATCAGATTCGTTGTGCGCTGGAAGGCTGCAAGGAAGTTCCTGCTCAATGCGGAACTCTCGCCCGCACTGGATGCGTCTGCGGTGCTCGTCTCTCAATGGGGCGTTTCTTCGAGTGGAAAATGCGGGAGGGAGGGACTTATGAAGAGGGAAGTCGGGACATAAGGGTGCGTAATTGGTCCAACCTTGTTTAATCCACCTCCTCCTCCTCCTCCTCCTCCTCCTCCTCCTCCTCCTCCTCCCCATGCTCCTCCTCCTCCTCCTCCTCCTCCTCCTCCTTTTCCCTTGGACCTGCCTCACTGGAGGCAGGCAGCCGTCCTAGTCATAGTCCTCGTGACCATCCTCTTCGTCCTCCTTCTCCTCCTCCCCCCCATTTACAAGCCCGCGGGCATCCACTCCTGCGATTGAGCGGGAGGAGGACGACGACGTGGAGGAAGAGCTCGTCGACCTCCCTTCTCCCCTTCATCCTCACAGTCACTATTCCTCATTCTTCCTCTTCCTCCATCATTCCTCTATTTCTTTCTCTGCTCATTCTGATCCATCCACCCTCCCTCCTTACTCTCTCCCTCGATGGAGGTGGGTGAAGGCTTAGAAGGAGGAATAGCAGGAGCAGCAGGAGGGTGGAGCGAGGATGGTAATGATGATGATAATGATGATGACGATGATGATGATGATGATGATGATGATGATGATGATGATGATGATGCTGATGTTGCTGGTAATGAAGATGCTAATGATGAAGATGAGGATGATTAAGATGATGATGATGGTGATGAAAAAATGGTGATGGTGATGGTGATGGTGATGATGCTGATGATGCTGATGATGATGATGCGCATGATGATGCTGATGACAGTGATGGTGGTGTTGATGCTGATGATGATGCTGATGATGCTGATGATGCTGATGGTGACGGTGATGCTGATGATGACGATGCTGATGATGATGATAATGATGGTGATGATGATACTGATGATGATGATGACGATGATAATGATGCTGATGATGATGATGCTGACGCTGATGATGATGATGATGGTGATGATGATGATGGTGATGAAAAAGATGGTGATGGTGATGGTGATGGTGATGATGCTGATGATGATGCGCATGATGATGCTGATGACAGTGATGGTGATGTTGATGCTGATGATGATGATGATGATGATGCTGATGATACTGATCATGGTGATGATGATGATGATGATGATGATGATGATGATGATGATGATGATGATGATGATGATGATGATGATGATGGTGATGGTGATGGTGATGGTGATGGCGATGGCGATGGCGATGGCGATGGTGATGGTGAGGATGATGGTGATGATGGTGGTGACGATGACGATGACGATGACGATGACGATGAGGAGGAGGAGGAGGAGGAGGAGGAGGAGGAGGAGGAGGAGGAGGAGGAGGAGGAGGACCAGGAGGTGCAGGAGGAGGGTAGAAAAGAGGGAAGGAGCAGCTGAGGAGACGGGGGAGGAGAAGAGGGACGAGGAGAAGGGTGAAAGCGAAGGGAGGAGCAGCAGGAGGAGAGGGAGAAGGGCGAGGAGGAGAGAGCCGCGAGAGTGGCGGCAGGAGCGGCAGGCGCAGCGGCGGCGGCTCCAGCCCCAGGTGCCCGTCGACACCTGCGCCGTCCAGCTCGCCGCGCGCCACCCAGACGCGAACGCGGCGGGTCGAGCGTCTCCTCCAGCGGGCCCGCCGGCAAATCGAGTGCCGACGACGACGACGACAACGACGCCGACGCCGATGACGACGACGACGCAAACGCCAACAACGACGACGACGAAGACGACGACGACGCCGACGACGACGCCGACGCCGGCGACGTCGACGACGACGACGACGACGACAACCACGACCACGGAGGCGGTGGTCACGGGGACGACGGCGACGACGACGACGACGCCGACGTCGACGCCGACGCCGGCGCCGACGCCTTCGCCGACGACGGCGCCGACGCCGACGCCGACGACGGCGAAGAGGACGACGACGACGCCGACGCCGACGACGACGACGACGACGACGACGGCGACGACGACGACGGCGACGCCGACGACGATGACCACGCTGACGACGACGACGACGCCGACGGTGACGCCGACGCCGACGCCGACGCAGACGACGATGGCGACGACAACGCCTCCGACGACGACGACGACAACGACGACGACGGCGGCGACGACGACGAAGAAGAAGAAGACAACCGCGACGACGACGCCGTCGCCGACGCCGACGACGCCTCCGACGACGACGACGACGCCGATGACGACGACGACGGAGACGGCGACGACGACGACCCCGACGACGACGACCCCGACGACGACGGCGACGACGACGACGTCGAAAATCAACGACGGCGACGCCGACGCGACCGACCGACCGACCAAGACCACGACGACCTTGACCACGGCGGCTGCGGCCACGCGGCGACGGCGGCCACGGTGGCCACGCCGGGGGCGGCAGCGGGGACCGCGGGGCCCCTTCTGCGCCTCGGCATCGCTCGGACGTGTGCATTTCTCCCTCGGCGAGGGCCCTCGAGGAGCGTCCTTGATCATCTGGCGAAAAAAAAACCGCGCACGAGACCGAAAAAAAACGCAGGGAATGGACGTCCGAGCGATGGCGAGCGGGGCCCCTTCGGCGCGGGGGCGACGAGGACCACGAGGACCACGACGGCCGCGGCGGCCGCGAGGAGGGCGACGGCGACGAGCCGCGCGGCGCCGAGGCGCGCAGCTCCTTCACCGCCGCCTCCGCCCACGGCCAGCAGGCGCTCGGCGCCGAGGACACCCTCGGGGCGGCCCTCGGCGGCCTCCCCAGACCCCCGATGCCGTGTTTTTTTTCACAGCGTTCTCCTCCTCCTCCTCCTCCTCCAGCTCCTCCTCCTCCTCCTCCTCCTCCTCCTCCTCCTCTCTCCTCCCTCCCCCTCCTCCTCCTCCTCCTCCTCTTCCTCATCATCTTCTTCCTCATCATCTTCTTCCTCCTCCTCCTCCTCCTCCTTGTCCTCGGTCCTGTTTGGACGCTCCCGGGGCCCGGCACAGGGCCCCCGAAGGCCGAACAGAAGCGGAAAGCGGCAAGCTTCCCGCCGCGATCTCGTCACAAATCCAGGGGGGTGGGTCCTGCGGCCCTCGGCGCCTCCTTCGGTGGGCCTCCCTGGAGCTTGTTCTCCATTTCATTCAGGCAAGTCTACTTGCACGGCGTTCGCCCCCCCTCCCCCCCCCTCCCCGCCCCCCCGCCCCTCTTCAATCGAATACGAGCGAGTAATTGCCTTTCGCCTTGCGTGACATCTGCACGTCAAGTCGCTTGCGGCTTGCTTCAGGTTCAGGCTCCCCCTGTCCATGCAAGTAAACTTGCCAGAACCCAAAACAAATCTCAAACCATGCTCCTGCGGCCATCGGCGCCTCCTCCGGCAGCACTCCGGCGACCAAAGGGCGTTCCTCGGTGACCTGCGGCGGCATGGGCCTGCGGCGGCCCCTCGGCGGCCTTCGCGGCAGGCCGCGGTAGGCTGCGGCGGCGTCGGAGGGAGAGGGAGGGGGGGCGGAGCGAGGGAGGACGGGAGGAGGGAGGGAGGGAGGAGGGAGGAGGGAGGGAGGAGGAGGAAAGGGAGGGAGGAAAGGAGGAGGAAGGAGGAGGGAGGGAGGGAGATGGAGGGAGGGAGGGAGGGGGGGAGGCAGGGAGGGAGAGGAAGGCTGAGGAGGAAGAAGGAGGGAGGGAGGGAGGCAGGCAGGGAGGAGGAGGGAGGGAGGGAGGGAGGGAGGGAGGGAGGAGAGAGGGAGGAGAGAGGGAGGGCAAAGGAGGACGAGGAGCAGGAGGCAGCGGAGAAGCAGGAGGGGGCAGAGGAGGAGGAGGAGGAGGAGGAGGAATAATAGAAAGAGGCGGATGGAGACGAGGATGAAGGGAGAGTGGTGGAGAACTGGGCTGGGAGAGGGGGACAGGCAGAGCAAGGGAGAAGGAGGCAGGGAGGAGGAGGAGGGGGGCAGGAGATGCGGAGGAGTTTTTTTTTTTCTCTCTCTCTCTCTCTCTCTCTCTCTCTCTCTCTCTCGCTGCCAATTCAAGCAATCTCCGAGGATGAGACCTTCCTTCTGAAACTCATTGGCGTCGCTCGGACGTGCGCATTTTTCCTTCGGCGAGGACCATCGAGGAGCATGCTTGATCATTTGGCGAAAAAGCCACGCACGAAACCGAAACAAGCACAGGGAATGGACGTCCGAGCGATGGCCAGAACTTGCTCTGAGTGGGGGGGAGTTCGTCCGAACTCGTCACCTCTCCAGTGCTATCGCGCCCACGGGCGCAGCAAAGCAGAGATTGCCTCGCCTGCACGGGGGGGGGGCGGCCTGGCGACTAGACTCAGAAGTGATCCATGAAGTCCACCACGGACGAGCTCAAGACAATTCCGTAAATGGCGTGGTAGGGGTCAATGTCATTGGCACTCGTGAAGGTCACCTCGAAATCCAGACTCGGGGCGAAACTGAACCTCGCGAAATGTAAGCAAAGGAAGGGTGGTGGATATGAATTAGAATGTATGTCCATCACGAACGAGTTCAAGACAGATCTGTAGATGGCATGGTAGGCGTCACAGTCATGGATGCTCGTGAAAGACACCTCGGAATCGAAGCCCGGGGCGAAACCGAACTTCGCAAGTTGTGACAGCCCCCCCTTCTGCGACACTCCCCGTGTTACAAAGAGCCGGGGCAGCGTAGAACGTAATGGAAGGGCGGTGGACATCCACATGCGTTGGCTTGCTGTGGGTCGCAAACTGGTCATGAACGGTGAGTCCGCCCGTCTGCATGCATTCTATGCCGTACGGCGCTCGCCTCCACGGCCAAGCTGTCGTACCAGACGGCTCCGTGGAGCTCGGCCTGACGGGATCTGGCCGCCCATGGTGCGGAACGCTTCCGCCAGCATCAAGTCGGGCATGTCCCCCTGCAGGATGAATATTCAAACATAGTCTGAAATAATGGTCTGGGGGGCGATGCTTCTATTCTTTTTGGCCATCTTGGAATGTTGTTTGACTACTTAATTGTGTCGTCCAACATCCTCCTGTAGGAGGACATGCCCGACCTAACCCTAGCATCACCTCGGCCGACAGTTGAACCCCTGAGATTTGCAGGTACCCCGTCGGCATCTCTGCTGGCGTCGGCTGGTACAGCGGGTTCTCCGCCCTGCTCCGCCAACGCCTGAAGCATCTCGTTGGGTTTATCGCTGGACCTCGGGAGCACGAGTTCGCCGCGGCAGCTGGACATAATGCGCACTTTGGGTTCCTTGCCTGGCCCCATGGAACGTCGGGAGGAGCAGCATCCCCTTGACCCATCGAGCCCAGCCGCTGACCCTGACGCGTCCAGCATCACCTTGAGTCTGACTAGGCCGGCAAGGGTCACCCTTATTCTTGTCGAAGAAGCCATGGCCTCGTAAGTCGGCACAACGTTTCAAGCCTCTGGGGGACAGTGGCACGCTGGAGGTCCGTGATTTGTGTCGGGTTGACCCTTGCGCAGTTTGAGGTGTGCCTGGAGGTACCTGCTGATGCGCTCGTAAGTCAGCACAACGTCGGGGGACTCTGGAAGGCAGTGGCACGCTGAAGGTCCGTGATTTGCGTCGGGTTGACCCTTGCGCAGTTTGAGGTGGGCCTGGAGGCGCCTGCTGATGCGATCGTAAGTCAGCACAACGTCGGCGGACTCTGGAAGGCAGTGGCACGCTGGATGTCCGTGATTAGTGTCGGGTTGACCCTTGCGCCATTTGAGGTGGGCCTGGAGGCGCCTTCTGATGCGCTCGTAAGTCAGCGCATCGTCGGGAGACTCTGGAAGGCAGTGGCACGCTGGAGGTCCGTGATTTGTGTCGCGTTGACCATTGCGCAGTTTGAGGTGGGCCTGTAGGCACCTGCTGATGCGCTCGTAAGTCAGCACAGCGTCGGGGGGCCCTGGAAGGCAGTGGCACGCTGGAGGTCCGTGATGTGTGTCGGGTTGACGTGTGCGCACTTTGAGGTGGGCCTGGAGGCACTTGCTGACGCGCTCGTAAGTCAGCGCAACCTCGGGGGACTCTGGAAGGCAGCGGCACGCTGGAGGTCCGTGATTTGTGTCGGGTTGACCCGTGCGCAGTTTGAGGTGGGCCTGGAGGCGCCTGCTGATGCGCTCGTAAGTCAGCGCGACGTCGGGGGACTCTGGAAGGCAGTGGCACGCTGGAGGTCAGTGATTAGTGTCGGGTTGACCCTTGCGCAGTTTGAGGTGGGCCTGGAGGTGCCTGCTGATGCGCTCGTAAGTCAGCGCGACGTCTGGGGGCTCTGGAAGGCAGTGGCGCGCTGGTGGTCCGTGATTTGTGTCGGGTTGACCCGTGCGCAGTTTGAGGTGGGCCTGGAGGCGCCTGCTGACGCGCTCGTGAGTCAGCGCAACGTCGGGGGACACTGGAAGGCAGTGGCACGCTGGAGGTCCGTGGTTTGTGTCGGGTTTGACCTTTGCGCAGTTTGAGGTGGGCCTGGAGGCGCCTGCTGATGCGCTCGTAAGTCAGCGCAACGTCGGGGGACTTTGGAAGCAGCGGCGCGCTGGAGGTCCGTGATTAGTGTCGGATTGACCCGTGCGCAGTTTGAGGTGGGCCTGGAGGTGCCTGCTGATGCGCTCGTAAGTCAGCACAACGTCGGGGGGCTCTGGAAGGCAGTGGCACGCTGGAGGTCCGTGGTTTAAGTCGGGTTGACGTGTGCGCAGTTTGAGGTGGGCCTGGAGGCGCCTGCTGATGCGCTCGTAAGTCAGCGCAGCGTCGGGAGACTCTGGAAGGCAGTGGCACGCAGGCGGTTCGTGACTTGTGTCGCGTTGACCCGTGCGCAGTTTGAGGTGGGCCTGGAGGTGCCTGCTGATGTGCTCGTAAGTCATCGCGACGTCGGGGGACCCTGGAAGGCAGTGGCACGCTGGAGGTCCGTGATTAGTGTCGGGTTGACCCGTGCGCAGTTTGAGGTGGGCCTGGAGGCGATTGCTGATGCACTCGCAAGTCGGCGCAGCGTCGGGGGACTCTGGAAGGCAGCGGCACGCTGGAGGTCCGTGATTTGTGTCGCGCTGACCCGTGCGCAGTTTGAGGCGGGCCCGGAGGTGCCTGCTGGTGCGCTTGTGAATCAGCACAACGTTGGGGGACTCTGAAAGGCAGTGGCGCGCTGGAGGTCTGTGATTTGCGTCGCGTTGGCCCGCGCGCAATTTGAGGTGGGCCCGGAGGCGCCTGCTGATGCGCTCGCAAGTCAGCGCAACGTCGGGAGACTCTGGAAGGCAGCGGCACGCTGGAGGTCCGTGATTTGTGTCGCGTTGACCCGTGTGCAGTTTGAGGTGGGCCTGGAGGCGCATGCTGATGCGCTCGTAAGTCAGCGAAACGTCGGGAGACTCTGGAAGGCAGTGGCACGCTGGAGGTCCGTGATTTGTGTCGCGTTGGCCCGTGCGCAGTTTGAGGCGGGCCTGGAGGTGCCTGCTGATGCGCTCGTAAGCCAGCACAACGTCGGGGGACTCTGGAAGGCAGTGGCACGCTGAAGGTCCGTGATTTGTGTCGAGTTGACCCGTGCGCAGTTTGAGGTGGGCCTGGAGGCGCCTGCTGATGTGCTTGTAAGTCAGCGCAACGTCGGGGGACTCTGGAAAGCAGCGGCACGCTGGAGGTCCGTGATTTGTGCCGGGTTGACCCGTGCGCAGTTTGAGGTGGGCCTGGAGGCGCTTGCTGACGCGCTCGTAAGTCAGCACATCGCCGGGAGACTCTGGAAGGCAGCGGCACGCTGGAGGTCCGTGATTAGTGTCGGATTGACCCGTGCGCAGTTTGAGGCGGGCC